ACAAAATAGAGGCATCACCGGCTGATCTAAATTGGTTATGCTTCAGAAATTTATTGTGAACCTTTTCAATTGACCCTATATAAATATTATATTGAGGATTCCAAACTGTTGAGCAATATTTTAATATTGAGCAGACCAATGAGTTATACAGAATAATTAGAGTTGAGGGTTTTTTAAAGTCTTTAGTAACTCGTAAAACAAATCCAATCATTTTATATGACTTGTCAACTATTTTATCAATATGAGATTTAAATATTATTTTTTGATCCAAATACACGCCCAAGTCCCGCAACTCAGTTACTCGACAAATTCTAAAGGTTCGTTTTCTTGCTCATTGTTATAACATTACTTTTTTTATATTTAACAACAATAGATTATTTGAACAATATGTGTATAATCTAATAATATCTTCTTGTAATAGCTCAGTTGTGTTCATTTTTAATAATTTAAAAAATATATCATCAGCAAACAGTGTCCGTCAGTGTTGGAATTGCAAAAGCACGTCAATTATATTAATATTGAATAAGAGGACCGAGATGCGAACCATGGGGGACACCCGAAGATATTGGTAAAAACGAAGAACAATACCCCGTAACTGCTACTGCTTGAGTATGATTACGCAAGTAAGATGCTAGCCAGCGCACCGTGCACATCGATTTTGACCGTGTTTGATCGTGTGTTTGATCATGTCTAGTTTTTTGATAAGAATTTCATGAGATATTTTATCAAAAGCTTTGGAATAATCGGTGTGCACGGTATCCACCTATAGCCCTGCATCCATTTGTAAACAATATCAAGATATTCGCATAAATTACTCTCTGTAGATCGGATATATTCTATACAGAGGCTGCACTAAAAGTATCGGGAATGGAATATTTCCGCTGTTCCTGTCATATTAAAATCTTTTTAATTGAAAACTCCTTGGTTTTAAAAATCGAATACCATTTATTTAAAAAAAGATTCTCGGTCTTGTCACAAGGTTTTGTCAAACTTGTTTAGTCGTTGAGAAAATGGAATTGACTCGAGAAAATTCAAGAGCGATGATTTATTATGACTTTCGAAGTGGTTTAACACAAAAACAATGTGTTAACCGGATGATTTCTGCATTTGGTGATGAAGCCCCATCCAAAACCACAATTTGTCGCTAGTTTGCTGAATTTCAACGTGGACGTCTCAAGCTCAGTGATGATCCCCGTCAAGGTCGTACAAAAACTGCAGTCACCCAAGAAAAGGTTGATGCTGTGCGTAAGCTGATTGAGGAAGATCGACATGTGACATACCGCGAAATTCAGGCTACTTCAGACATTGGCATGAGTCAAATACAAATAATCTTGCATGAACAATTAGGTGTAAAAAAGTTGTTTTTCCGATGGATACCGCATTCGCTCTCCGAAGAGCAAAAAGCGGCTCGCGTTACTTGGTGCGTCAGAACTCTCGAAAGATTCCACGCAGGATCCTCAAATGCTGTATACAACATCGTATCAGGTGACGAATCCTGGATATACGCATACGAACCCGAAACAAAATACCAGTCACGAGTTTGAGTGTTCGAAAATTAGTTAAAGCCAACAAAAATTATTCGTTCACGGAGTATTGCAAAAAAAATGGTGGCCACATTTGTCTCCAAAACCGGCCATGTTATGACTATACCTCTTGAGGGACAAAGAACGCTTAATGCAGAATGGTATGCTAGCATTTGTTTGCCACAGGTCGTTTCTGAACTCCGTAAAGAGAACTGCAACCGACGCATCAACAATGCGTGTTCTCATACCGCACACAGAACAAAAGTTTTTAGAGCAAGAAAACATAGAATTATTAGACCATCCGCCGTACAACCCCGACCTAAACCCTAATGATTTCTATACTTTCCCTAAAATAAAGAATAAATTGCGTGGATAGAGATTTTCATCACCTGAAGAAGCTGTGGACGCCTAGAAAACTGTCATTTTGGAGACCCCAACTTCCGAATGGAATGGTTGCTTCAATGATTAGTTCCATCGTATGGAAAAATGTGTCAAATTTCGCGGAGAACACTTCAAAAAGCAATAAATACATTTTTAAATAGTAATGTTGTCACTTCCTTGATTCCCGAAATTTTCAGTACCGCCCTCGTATTTGATATTTACTATACCTTTACGGATGTTTTCTACACCTGTTTATTCCCGGACCTAAACACATGTGTAACAAAGGACTATTTCCAGACATATGACATCACTCCTGTTTTCAATGAAAGATTATACAATCTAAAAAGCGTCTCGGATAATTGCTTGTAGCAGTGCTTCAATAAAATTGTAGGAAGCCCGTCGGGGCCAGCGCCTTTATTAATATTAATATTTTTGAGGTATGATTCAATTTTGGCTTTAAGTGTAAAAATGTGGTTGAGATTAATCAGGTCATTTCCTTGGTTGACATCTGTATGATCATGATCAGATTGACTATGTGATTCAAATACAGAGTTAAAATACTGATTAAACAAATCGCATATGTCCTATCCGCTAGATGACCTAACATTTCCAATAAACATGGAGTCAGGCAAATCATTCATATTTTTCTTTTTTGATTTCTTTTTGATTTAACATGTTTTTCACTTAACATCAGGTGAGCCGCATGCTCGTTTGCCCCCTCTTCTATAAAAAAAAATGTTACTGTTTTAACCATTATAATTATATATTTTTAAAGTTAGTGGATTCAAAATATTATGACTTGTTAATGGAACTTTTGTTTAGTAAATTGTTTGATGTTTGATGACATTTTTACACACAATATAATTTTTTCAAATAATAAAATTACCCCTTCGCTCCTACCACGTTCCAAATAACGTTGTTCCTACGCGCCGCCACCGTACCATTTCCTCTGTCACTCCTGTCACTGATTTAACCAAACAAAAGGAACTATGCGTACCTTGATACTGTGTAACGAGGTCCTTCCTATAAAAAAAAAAAGTTTTGTCCACGAAGAAAATCCTTTGATGACCCTGAGATTGTCCGCTGGCTGAGCTAGCGTAACCGGTATTTCCCAGTCTCGCCACGCGTGCGGGACAAGCGGCCAGTGCAGTGCAGTGGTCACGCACCCCCCCCGCCCCCGCGAATGGAAACTCGCGACGTCACGCGAGGCGTTTCGGTGTATATTCGTGCCGTGAAATAAAGGAATGCCAGTGCTAAAATCAGTAAAATAACGTCTTCGACGTTATTCCACGAAAAAAATCCTTAGACACGCCGTGCCGTCTGTGAGCGCTCGCTCATTTACTTACGCTTATTTTTAAAATATCTACTATTTACATGACATTAAATGAAACATCAATAAATATCCATCAATTATTTATTTAGCAGTTTAAACCCTTAAGTGTCATAATCTAATCGGTATGGAGTAGTCCATACACGAAAAACTTAGTCTATTAACTATAACCTAATTACAACTGAATTCCTATTAAACAATATAAAACAGGAATAGTAAAGTTTGTGGATTCAAAATCTGTTTTTTTGCAGAGAATTACTTTCCAACGCCGTCAATCTTGGAATGTCATACGCTTCCATTCTCGCTACAGATTATTTGTTGATCTTGAAACCAAAGAATATTAAAACAAATTTTTATTTAAATATGAAAACAAATATGTTATATTTAAAAATATTATTCCATCACTCTCAAAGAGAAAATTATAAGATTAAAAACGAAAAACGTGATCAGAATGTGCTTTATTAATTAACAATTTGTTAAAAAATTATTTCGAAATTATCATTTTATCTCTGTGCGCGTACCAAAAGAATTTGTTCATTAATTGTTTTTATTTAATGTTACTTGGAATTAGAGCCAAAATACCTAAAACAAGCTGAACAGGTGAAAGGTTAAAAATACAATATTTAGTTCAAAATACCCTCTGTCCGATCCGAAAGGGTACTTAAGCACCGCATTGACAATACCAAAAAAGAATATCACAATGACTATAAAAATGTTATTGTTATGGAAAATATTTCAATTGAGCAAATTTTTAAAATCTGTCAACAGTCGTCGGCGACGGTATCTTTGAACGTGGAGGTATTTTTACTCGTCTTCGCTGCCTGTATTGCCTACATACTTTTCACCATTTAATAAAAAAATATATTTTATTAGTAATTTTTTATTGATTGTAAGAAAAGTATTACAGGAACAATATTAAATTACGATACTTAAAAGCACCCTCACGGATCAATCACATTTTTTTACAAATTACATATATAGTATTTAATTATTATTGGGTGGAGAGAATTAAAATATAAAAAAAATAATTCTATATAGGATTTTACATCATAAAGGTAATAAGCAATACATAATGTATTGAGTATTTATAAATTTAAGAAACGAGGCTGCTTAACCATCAGTTTTCTAATACAGATCCAAGGAAATACATTATTCCCACATCAATTAAAATCCCACATTGACATAAACAAAAGAAACTTGTGATTATATTAGAACTACCAGCAGGTACTTATGTTAGTCCAACTTTATTGAGAGAAATGTATAAATGAAAGGATGCTAAGTAACAACCTATTGTCTTTGAACCCTAATAATTTATTTTACAAAATGCAATTTGAGTGAAGTAAATTTAGTTTCAAACAGAATCAAATTTTAGATTGAACGCAGAAACTGAGATCAAGTATATGCAGATTGATAAAGCAAGTGTGGTACTGGAGAACAAAATATAAAGATAATGGGCATAAAATAGAACCTTATTTTTAACCAACATTACACAACACAGAAGCGCTATGATATTCATGTAAGTTACGAGAATCCGGTAAGCTTGCTGTAAAACACTTTAATTAATTAATTCCAAAAAAATGTCTAACACAATATAAGGTGCAAAACTTTTTATAATAATCTATATTAATTAACTTTGAAGGTCCTACCCACGAAATCTCTTGATGACACTATATTGGATGTTCTAAACACCGGCAAAAAGCCACGCTGGAAACGCGTTTGGTTTAAAGAAGCCACGCAGGCAACACACTTGGTTGGTTCATACGTCGCTAGTGACGTGCGTCGCGGCGATGATCCCGGTCGCGGTCTCGGTCTCGGTCTGCCGGCGGTGGGTCGCGGTCTCTGCGCTCGCGGTACCGCTCTTCGTAGTACGGTGCGGTAGCAGACCGGCTCTTGGTTACGCTGGCATCGCCTGCACCACTCTCAGCGGTCGGCTCCACAGGCGATTTTCGTGGCCTAAAATTTTAAACTGGTTTTATTTGTTGTGTCCCTACATCTAAAAATTCCGCCCTATTATCAAACAAAAAAAAAAACGCGAACATAATTAAATATACAACAGGGGTTAATAATTTTTGTCCGACTTTAAAAAAGAAGGAAACTCTCGATTCGACGGAGTTTTTTTTTTATAAATGTTACGCTAATATCTTCATCAATTGTGAATAATTTTTAATGATTCATAGACTACAAGACTTCAAAAGCTATTATGTGGATATTTATTATTATTTTTAATATGTTAAAGTCGACTTTAACTATTTTTCATTATTCATTCATTCATTTTATCAAAGTGCGATGCTAAACGCAGGCCTCTCCATAAATTGCCTCATGAAGGGGGCAAACAAAGTTTCTTAATTTTGTTATTAGGAAGATGGGCAGCACCGTCTTTCCGTGTCGCCTGACAACCACAGGATGCGAAAGTGGATAATCTTATATCGCCAATAATATATTATAATCTCTATTCTTATAGGCATATCTAATCTTTTCATTTTTTTTCAGTCATGAAACTTAAAACATAAGATAGACCTCCTCATTGTATAATTACTCTACGACATGGCCCTTTAAATGGACTACTATAATACATCATACATATACATAAACACTCACGTCTGTCACCCAGTTGGGTAGGCAGAGTCGACGGACTTTCATTTGGTACGATCCTGACACACCTCTCTCGCCACCTTTACATCCATACACCTACTCATACATGTCCCTCAGTTAACAGTACTCCTGATCTCGCTCATTTTCAATATATTGCCAATTTGGTCGATAAACTTTAGTCTAGGGCGTCCATTCCCGACTCTGCCGTTCACATCTACATCATAGATTTGCTTTGTCTCTCTATCATCGTTCATTCTTTCTAGATGACCAAACCAATGAATCATTCCTTTCTTAATCCTGGTCACAAAATCATCTTACAAAGCATACTTTTCTCTTATTACACAATTTATCATCGTATCATTGAGATTCAGCCCTAACCAACTGCAAAATGATGCAACTATTATAATATGATATGAGGACTAAGACCATTTTTCTTACCTTTCCTCACGACTATGTCCTCTATTGTAATGGTCGGCACGATCTCTATCACGTGACCTGGAGCGATCACGTTCACGTTCACGGTAGTCCCTGTAGTATCTGAAACAAAGAAATAATATTTTCAAAAAGATGCATATACATAGATACACACATACATAGTTGACAAAGCAGGGTAGACAAATACAAAATTATGTTATATAATTATATATTATGTATTACAAAAATAATATGCTGCGGATAGTTGGGGGCGTTAAAGAGGTAATACCATGAGTCATTAGTGGTAATTGTCAAAATTTAATTTGTGAGTACTATTGTTAAACACCCAAGTAAAATGATTTAGAACAATGATTCATTTAAGTAAATTTATACATTTTGATACAATGTTTGTAAAATTGTTTTAACCATTTTGGAATTTGATCTTTTGCACTGGAGCTATGATAAAGTGTCAACCCTAGACACTTACGCATCTCTGTCGCGTTCGCGATCGCGATCCCTCGAAACCCTCGAATCCCTATACCTGCAATAAAGCACCCATTTTCAACAAATTATTTCTTTAAAAAGAACAATGAATGGCATCATATCTATATGGCATCATATCTAATATGGCATCATATCTATATGGCATCATATGTACACCAGAAGAATTTTTGACAAGGGAATAATGTCTAATGTCCAATGAATCATATATGAAAATTTCAATTGTATAACTATTGTGTCTGCTTCCCGGACAGAGAAACTTAACGAATTTATGGATAATAATGACCTCCAGGAATGAGGTGTGCGCTACCAAGCTATTTATAATTTGTTTTATGTTGTTAATTGTGTAACATAATATGTGATTGTAAACAGTTGTCTAGAATTATAACCTTCGTAATGCCACCCCGCCAGTCTTAATATTCACTAACAGATTATATTTATTTTCTGAAACGCAGCTTCGATGATCGATAGGGGGTACGCAGGGAAGCCGACTTTTACCGACTCTGCTATTTCGTAGTCTCTAGTTAGAGAAAGAGTCCTAAAGGTCCATAAAGTATACTTATTATGTGTGAGATTTGAACGCTCTTAATGTAAATTATTTTAGATCATTTGTCATAACGTGTAATCACACGGCGACGCAGCGCGCGGTGGTGCTGCGCGGTGTGTGCGCTGCGGCGCGTGCTGTCTCACCGGTCGCGGTCGTCGCGGTCTCGGCTGAGGTCGCGGTAGCGCGATGCGGAGCGGTCGCGGCGGCGCGGCACGCGGTTGTGCTGCGCGGTGTATGCAGTGCAGCACGTGCTGTCTCACCTGTTGCGGTCGTCGCGGTCTTGGCTGCGGTCGCGGTAGCGCGATGCGGAGCCGTCAGTGCGTCGCGGCGCGCGGTGGTGCTGCGCGGTGTGTGCAATGCGGCGCGTGCTGTCTCACCTGTCGCGGTTGTCGCGGTCTCGGTAGCGCGAGGCGGAGCGTTCGCGGAGGGCAGTGCGCGGTGATGCTGTGCGGTGTGTGCGCTGCGGCGCGTGCTGTCTCACCTGTGCCGGTGGTCGCGGTCTCGGCTGCGGTCGCGGTAGCGCGAGGCGGAGCGCTTGTGCGCGGTGGTGCTCTGCGCAGTGTGTGTGCTGCGGCGCGTGCTGTCTCATCTGTCACGGTCTCGGCTGCGGTCGCGGTAGCGCGAGGCGGAGCGCGAGGCGGATCACTCGCGAAGGCGAAGTTCGCGGTGGTGCTGCGCAGTGTGTGCGCTGCGGCGCGTGCTGTCTCACCTGTCACGGTCGTCGCGGTCTCGGCTGCGGTCACGGTAGCGAGAGGCGGAGCGGTCGCGGCGGCGCGGCGCGCGGTGGTGCGAGCGCGCGTCACGCTCTCGCGATCGCGAGCGCCGCCGTTCGCCACCGTATGACTTCGTCTCCACGCCGTGCAGTGTGTCCTGCAGCGATGAGATCAGGATCTTGCACCGGTCGTCGTGTGCGACCTGAAACATCATACCATGATATGATTTATATTTGAAAAACAAAATAGTACCTTAATTTAAATAAAAGTATAATGAAAAATTCACAGTGCGCCTGATATTTATTGGCTACAACAGGACATATTCATAGATACTAACAAAAACCTAAAGATACCGCAATGTACAAATATATCACCACTAAGGACCTAGATTTTTCATTATTTGATTGTCTCCTCACAACCCGTTATTACACCGATTTTTATACCCTTCAGTCTACTACACAGTAGTGCAAACAAAGTTTTTTGACAACAGGAATAGATATGAATGGAATACCTACCCACATGAAATCCTAGACACAAAAAGGTGTTTCACCACCTAATTCAACACCCAGACTTAAATGATGTAATTGAAGTGTCATATGATATGTCTAGAGGTTAATTAACATCTTTAGCTGATTTATTTTATTTAAAATTTATGATAGTATATACATATATAAAAAAAGATAATTTTATTTATGAAAGTATATTCCACAGTGATATTTGAAAGTTATACGGTATAAATTAGAATCAGCAGTGTTTTGTATAAATCTGGTTTAAATTATGGTTGACACTTGTTTTTACATGGGGAATTAACTACGCATACCCGCCTCGCGGGGGTAAAGGACGGGTTATGTCGGACTCACACCGGCTAACCTCATGGTGTTCCACCTTCGTCGCATATTGGCATGGCTACGGGAGCACTTTCGCACACTTCCGCGGCCCCACCAGCGTCGGCCACCCCATGGCGGCGCCTACTCGGGAGAGGACTACTCTTCCCTATTCTACTCCTCAGGTAAGGCGCATCAACTACACCTACGCAACGGGCGCACTAGAGCCTTCCCGACCCCAGCGGCGAATCTGGTCTAAGAATCCGCCGCCAATCAAGATTCTGCTGCGGAGAGTAGGGAGAGAGGCGCCTCGTAATACCGACACTCTTCGCCCCTCGCAGCCCCACCACCAACGCATCGACAGTGCGGCCCCGTTTGAGTCGCGAAGGATAGGGCGAGTGGCGCATCGCAATATCGACACTCCACCGCGACTTCACCTCAACTGCAGCGGTAGGGGGAGAGGGCACCCCTCTTCCCGCAGCCCGCCAACACACATCCGTAGCTGGTTAGCCAAGCCCACTAGGAGTGGTCTCCTCAGGCCGGCCCTACACCTCGAGCCAGCCATGTGAGTTCCTCTTAGTTCACCGTTGGTGACCAAGCCACGGCTACTAAGCCCCCACGCTACGACAAGGCGGGAACCAGATCTAGGCAATAATTCACTTGACAAATGTGACGATTAAGTCAAATCCCTATTATCGGGAGAAGCCCATTTCCAACCGTGGGTTGTTACGAACTAAAGAAGAAAAATAAAGTGTTAATGACCTTGCTCTGCTTGATGAGCGATATGGCGGTGACGAGCGTCTCGATGGCGGAGGCGTATTCGCCGGCGGCGGCGTCGCTTACGGCGCGCGCGATTGCGCTGGAGGACACGGTGCGGTTGCGGCCCATCACCTCCTCGAACTCCGCCTCGCTGATGGCGGGCAGCGGCGCGTGCGCGTGCGGCACGTGCGCGTGCGGCGCGTGCGCCAGCGCTGCGTGCGCCGAGTGCGCGCCGTGCGCCAGCGGCGGCGCCGCGTGGTGCGCGCGCGGCTCTCCGCCGCCGCCGTAGCTCTGCACGCACATAACATATTATAAAATATACACAGTTATTTTGCAATAACCGGCCAAACTCACAAAGGTTCAGAATAAGTAATATAGACAAATGGTGAAGGAATATTAAGAAAATAATCTCAAACATTCTGTCCTTTTCATCTCATAAACTCAAAACACGTGGTAATGCTTTTACTGATTTTACTGCACACGCACACTTTTGTAAGGGTCGATCGGTAGGCAAAAACGTTGTTGCCCATAAATTACATTCAATTTGGGATAATTTCAAATAAAAGTAAAAGCCTTATTTACTCGTATTTTCAAAACTGCAATTACAATTATATATTAACTTAAATTTAAAATTTGGCTACTCTTTGAAAAATAACCCTGTATAACGGCCAACGTGTGCTTACCTAGCAAATTAACCAACCACCATTGGTACAACTTGTGGAGCTGGCTATAAAAGCCAGAAAGTACCTACAATCCATACAGATAAAGAAAGAGATTAGAACTGGCGGCTCGTTGTATCCGTACGGTCAACATCCACAATACCAATAGCAAAAATCAGCTAATAACTGTCTATCAATATTTCTATTTTATTAAATCTCCACTAAGTTTAAAAATGGTTACCCTTCTGAATGGCATGTAAATAATTTATACAAAAATAAATTATTATATATAATAATTAGTATATATATTAACGTGCGTGCAGCTCATGCGCAACAGAAGTGAAACCTTCAAATGAAAGAAAATATTAAATACGAATACTTTATTGGCAAATGATTTATTTAATATTATAATTTAAACAAGTTCGGCATAAAATATAAGAAAATTTAATTTTATAGCAAATAAATGTAACAATCCTCTTAATATATATATTAGACCCTTAGACATTATATTTTCTTTCGAGTAAAATTATAATAGCACCACCTACTTCATTCTATAAGGTCGTCACTTTATCGAAGAACTGATGGACACCCAAGGTGGTACGTAAAATAGACGCTAGATGGCCTGAATTTATGAAATCATGAATTTTTAATAAGTACTTGACATTTTTAAGGTACAGTAGGCGCTCGATAATCCGGCACCCGATTTTTTCCCTTTATGCCGGATTGTCGGAACTGCCGGATTATCGAATTTGTATAGTAATTAAAATAGATCCTAGAGCTGCGAAACAAGAAAAAGCGAAACAAACACGTCGCTTCACTATTAAGGTTAGGCCCGGACTGCCGAGCGAGAGAAGAGAGGAACTACTCGAACAATTCAACCCAACCGCTCAGTAGTCCGGCGTTCAGCTGTGTAAAATGCCGCATTATAGAGCGGGCTACCTGAGTCCCAAAGTGCCGGACTACTGAGCGTGCCGGATTGGCGAGCGCCGGATAATCAAGCGCTTACTGTACTTTAAGAACAGGACAGCCACTAATTTTTACGACGAGTAGATTAATTTCCCTTCGAATGTTTATACTCTTTTCGATATACCTTATATAGTACTCACTAATTACAAAAAGATTTATATCAATTTTACCTATTGCGAAGTTGAGGTTTGGCCGTTCTTCACTGCTTGTTTATTCCATAGGCACACGACACCTTCGTACCTTGTTGAACAAAATGCGTGAACGACGCCGTTTCGGCAGCGTTTACGACTTTTTAATCGCGAGCATCGAGCTTATACTGCCTCCTATCTCATTTCTCCCATGTTAAATCTTATGAATTTATATGTCTGTCTCTTTTTACTGTCGCTTTTTCGTTTCATATACTTTCAAATCACAACGATACTATAGAAGTTTTCACTTCAATAATTATGAAGAAAACGCTCAAGACACGTCCAGCTCACAAATCCGGACTGAATTTTTTTCTGAGTTTATGTAATTTTGTTCCAATTATCCAGTTCCAATGACAACTTGGATTGAAGTCTATTCTTACTGAAGAACATAGATTATAAGGCTAAATTGACTTAAGCACAGGGCCGCATCATACTAAACGGCGCTGCTTGGAACGTCGGACGCGTGAGCAGGGTCATTAGAAAAACATTTTGAAATAGTTTTATGATATAATTAATACACACATACACAATGCAATTCCATACAAGTCAAAGGAAATTGATTATCTTAAAGTTTCCATCTCTAAATCGTCATGGAATTTGACAATTTGAAAACAAAGTAGTACATTGCACCGCCTCATAATAATAATTAAAATTTAATGCTTATTTACCTGTGGAGGTCTTCCATAAGGTTGCCTAGCCCCTGGAGGTGGTGGGCCTTGATTTGGAGGCGGCGCTCCATGTGGTGGGTGACCATATGGCGCACCTGGACCTATGAAAATATAGAATATTTTATATGCTATGGATAAAGGATAATATTTCACAATTAATATAACTAATTTTAAGACATTTTTATACAACTTCTCATCAGACTAAAACCCCTAAATTACTGTGTACTGAAAATGCTATATTACCATGTAATATATAGGTATTGAAAAAAGAGAAGCAGTTAAGTATAAAACTAAGTTAGTAGTTAAACCGGAGCTTCTGAAAGCGGGTGGAACCACCGGTACTTAGTCTTTCAGAAGCTCTTCAATTCCGTCCTCCGTGGTGGCACTACTCCGGAGGCGATGAGCAGTATGCCATGGTCTTGTACTTCAAGAAAGGTAACAACACTCTCTAGTAGTAGTTGTTGGGAGCACTAAGCTCGAACTTGTTGACAAGTATGTTTTTTTTTTGGGACAAATAGTCTGACCAGGTAAGTCCAGCTTGGACTGGAGGTCAATCGACAGATTCAACTCGGCTGGGCAGTGTTGGGGAAATTACGACACATCTTCTCGTCAGCTATACCTCAAATCTTGAATTGAGAATGTGCAACCAGTGCGTGTTGCTAGTTATTACTATGGAACTGAGTCATGGTCCTTCACTGTTGGTCGTATGAGGACGCTCAAGGTCGCTCAGCAAGCTACGGAGGGCTATGCTTTGGGTTTCTCTGTGTGATAAACTTAGAAATGTTGATATCCACAGAAGAACCATAATGATCGATATACCCTAACAGATTAGTAAGCTGAAGTGGCAATGGGCCAGCCATATAACTCGAAGAATCGACTACCGATGGTACCGGTAGGCGAAGTGTAGGGCGAGCCCCACTAGATGAAGTAACGAACTGGTAAAACATGCAGGAAGTCGATGGATACTAGTGGCTCAGGACCATCCTTTGTGGCATTCCGTAGGGGAGGCCTATATTCAGCCGTGGACTTGTAAAGGGATGTAATGATGATGGCCTTAAAATAATTGTTCCCGGTGTGGATGTTTACTCTTGCACAATTTATTTATGTACAACTGCCTCAACGATTCAGGAAAAAATCCTTATTTTGGGGGTTAAGATTTGTTAACGTTGGTAAAAATGAACAACACTTAAAACTAAGTACAGGGTCAATTAATGATTTTTGAGTGGTTGATAGGAAAGCGATAGCTTGCAGGCACCTTGCACTTGCGGCTGCGGCGGCGGCTGCACGCCGGGCGCGGGCTGCGCGGGCGGCTGCTGGCTGAAGAACGCCGGGTTCACGTGCGGCGCCGGCGCGCCCGGCCCCACGCCCACCGGAAACCCGTCTGCAACCATTCACTCTTTATGGCATCATCATTTTATTTCTTCAAATGAAACTTTTTTAGAATTGTCGATCTGAAACTCGTCCCCCACCCAAAATAAAGTGGCATTTGTTGCATAAGGAGGAGTATGCAAGTGAATTTAGAGAGCTAGTTGTAAACAAGATGATAGAGATGGGTGATATGGAAGGAATGAGTGTGAATGAGTGCTGAAAGGAAATGGCTGATTGTATCCGAAGTATGGCAAGGAAGGTGTTAGGAGAAACAAAAGGGAAGCGTATGATAGATAAGGATGGGTGGTGGTGGAGTGAAAGTATTAGAGAAGTTTTGAGAGAAAAGAAAAATGCCTTTAAAGAATGGTAGAGCGTAGAAGACCAGAATGAATCCATAAAAGAAAGTAAGAGAGGGGCGTATAAAGAATGTAAGAAGAGAGCGAAGAAGGAAGTTGCTATTTGTAGGGCAGAGGCGCAAGATAAATTATATCGGTCCCTTGAAAGCCCCGAAGGTCAAGAACGACTTTTTCAAATTGCAAGAGCGAGAGAAAGGAATGGAAGAGATGTTTCACATGTAAAATGTATAAAAGATGATTCTGGAAGGATTTTGACTGACGATGAAAGTATAAAGAAGCGATGGAAAGAGTATTTTGAGAAATTGATGAATGAGGAGAATGAATGGAATGGTATGCTTGAAAACCCAACAGTGAATATGGGCTTAGTGAGAGAAATTAGTGTGGAAGAAGTAAAAATGGCTGTTAGGAATATGAAGAATGGAAAGAAGGTCGGCCCAGATGGAATACCAGTAGAAGTGTGGAAGTTGCTGAGTGCGGATAGATGGAAGTGGTTGAGTTTATTTTTCGGTAAATTGTTGCAGGAAGAACAAATACCTGAGGAATGGTGCAGTAGTATACTGGTCCCCATTTTTAAAAACAAAGGAGACCTTCAAAACTGCAGCAGTTACCGGGGAATAAAACTCATGTCACTGACGATGAAAGTATGGGAAAGAATAATAGAAAGAAGAATGAGAGAAGAGTGTGAGATAACACAAAACCAGTTCGGATTCATGCCCGGTCGAGGTACGACAGATGCCGTTTTCGCATTACGCCAATTGTGCGAAAAGTACAAGCGCGTGCATAAAAATCTGCACATGATTTTTGTCGACCTTGAAAAAGGCGTACGATGGGGTTCCCCCGTGAGGTTTTGTGGTGGGCGTTAAAGATGAAAGGTATGCCTGGGAAGTATGTGAGGTTAGTCCGTGCTACGTACAGAGCATCCCGTACATGTGTACGATCTGCCGCGGGAACTACGGGCAGTATCGGTGTGGCTGTAGGGCTGCACCAAGGGTCGGCATTGAGCCCTTACCTCTTCCTACTGATTATGGACGCTTTGACGTCGGACCTGCAGGATGAGGCACCCTGGTGCATGCTCTTTGTCGATGACATCGTGCTTGTCGGGGAAGAAGGCATCGAGGTACAGAGCAGACTGACGGGGTGGCAACAGAGGCTGGAAAGTGTTGGCTTGAAGATCAGCAGATCCAAAACCGAATATCTGTGCTGTGATTTCGGCGGTCTTTCCAGCCCTGTACCCACGTCGTTGGATGGCGCTATACTGCCTACCTGCTCAGATTTCAAGTACCTCGGTTCCCTCATTCAAGGCGACGGCGAAATAGATAAAGCTGTGCAGCATAGGATTAACGCAGGGTGGATGAAATGGCGACAGGTCACAGCCACAACGTGCGATCCCCGAATGCCAATAAGGCTGAAGGGGAAAATTTACAAATCGACCATCCGACCTGTCGTCATGTATGGAAGTGAATGCTGGGCCGTCAAGAAGAAGGATGAAAATAGATTGCATGCGAATGAAATGAGAATGTTACGATGGATGTGTGGTGTGACAAGGATGGATAAGATAAGGAATGAGTACATAAGAGGAAGCCTGAAAGTAGCGCCAGTGGTAGAAAAGGTGAGAGGAAGCAGATTGGCATGGTTTGGGCATGTGATGCGGAGGGATGAAAGTCATATCACAAAACGAGTGTTGAATATGAATGTGGAGGGACACACGGGCAGAGGAAGGCCGAATAAAAGATGGATCGATTGTGTGAAGAGTGATATGAGAATGAAAGGAGTAAGTATGGAAATGACGGCTGATAGAGAAGAATGGAACAAGAAGATTTACTGCGCCGACCCCAGATAATGGGAAATGGTTTAGAGAATGATGATGATCTGAAACTCGATGCAATTAAAAAGCGACACTTAAAAGAAACAAACATAAACATCTATAGAATTTAGTCTGCAAGAGAATGAGATTATATTTAATTAATTAATAATACGCTACAATTATCCTACTCCTGATATTCGATATTCATCCCTTAAAAATCAAAGTGCAAATGTGTTGTCACCCCTGATGAGTTTAATGCTACTGTTTGGTATGATGAGTGTAGATCCAGATACCCTTTTTACTGGACAGCACAATCTAAAGAATAATTTAAGCAACAGCACTAGAACATGTTCGATTCCATCAATATCGATATCTTGCTGTGTTTCCGAAATATTGATACTCAAAAATAGAATATTAAAACCGAATCAGCATGCCTCGACTCCACATAGTCATGTCATGTCTACCCTACCCCTAGTGTTTTCGTAAAGCCGTAGACGCGGAGGGAGAGCAGCCCCGCTCGCTTTAGCAAATAACAGACACTTGTACAAGCCGTAGCGGCTGAGGCTGGTCGCTGAAGGCGACCAAAGCTGCGTAGGTAAGCATGGGTGCGATTTGCTACGCAAAGGCGAAAGGGCTGTACTCCGCGCAGCGCCGAAGCGGTTGCAAAAGTAACTTTGGGTCAATATAATATATAGTAAAAAAGTATGCGTAGGTGTATGGATGTGAAGGAGGCAAGAGAGGTGTGTCAGGATCGTGCCAAATGGAAGTCTGTAGTCTCTGCCTACCCCTCTGGGTGACAGGCGTGAGTGTTTATGTTATGTATGTATGTAAAAAATGTAGGGTTGATTTTACAAAAAAAAATCATTACTCATAAACTATACTTTCCGCAAGAGGGGAAGGGTAGGGGGTATCCTCTGAACCTACCCTCTCCCCCACCCCCTTCAACCCCCGTAAGCTAGTACTGGAGGTCTAAACTTTTACCTTCTAAAAATATACCGAATACCGTCAAAAAATATTTTAATTTTTCGATTTTTTGAGTATCGAGTTCTCGAAAACAACGATATCGAAAAATTTTATTCATATTTTTCGGCATATCTCTTTCAAATCGTGCCGCCGTAAGAGCCGTAGTCGTGTCTTACAAATCGTCTCGCATGTCGGCTTGCAGCCTCCAAGACAAGCCGGTCTCACAAAGGTTGTTGTCACCCCTGATGAGTTTAATGCTACTGTTTGGTATGATGAGTGTAGATCCAGATACCCTTTTTACTGGACAGCACAATCTAAAGAATAATTTAAGCAACAGCACTAGAACATGTTCGATTCCATCAATATCGATATCTTGCTGTGTTTCCGAAATATTGATACTCAAAAATAGAATATTAAAACCGAATCAGCATGCCTCGACTCCACATAGTCATGTCATGTCTACCCTACCCCTAGTGTTTTCGTAAAGCCGTAGACGCGGAGGGAGAGCAGCCCCGCTCGCTTTAGCAAATAACAGACACTTGTACAAGCCGTAGCGGCTGAGGCTGGTCGCTGAAGGCGACCAAAGCTGCGTAGGTAAGCATGGGTGCGATTTGCTACGCAAAGGCGAAAGGGCTGTACTCCGCGCAGCGCCGAAGCGGTTGCAAAAGTAACTTTGGGTCAATATAATATATAGTAAAAAAGTATGCGTAGGTGTATGGATGTGAAGGAGGCAAGAGAGGTGTGTCAGGATCGTGCCAAATGGAAGTCTGTAGTCTCTGCCTACCCCTCTGGGTGACAGGCGTGAGTGTTTATGTTATGTATGTATGTAAAAAATGTAGGGTTGATTTTACAAAAAAAATCATTACTCATAAACTATACTTTCCGCAAGAGGGGAAGGGTAGGGGGTATCCTCTGAACCTACCCTCTCCCCCACCCCCTTCAACCCCCGTAAGCTAGTACTGGAGGTCTAAACTTTTACCTTCTAAAAATATACCGAATACCGTCAAAAAATATTTTAATTTTTCGATTTTTGAGTATCGAGTTCTCGAAAACAACGATATCGAAAAATTTTATTCATATTTTTCGGCATATCTCTTTCAAATCGTGCCGCCGTAAGAGCCGTAGTCGTGTCTTACAAATCGTCTCGCATGTCGGCTTGCAGCCTCCAAGACAAGCCGGTCTCACAAAGGTTTTAACCCTTCAATCCCCTTAAAATTCCCATGCAGTCGAATGTGTCCGTCAAATCCCGAGCGGTCGCATGCGACCGCACCCACCTACAGTTTAAACCATTAAAACTTATATTTAGAGACTACTTTTCTATGAAGAAGTTAGGCATTATAGAATCAACACAAAATTCTCTATCCTGTGGTCTAAACAAAAGTCAGTTACTCTTTTTATTTTTACTTTTATTCTACTGTCAATTTGGCTCATCATACTGTACCTGGATGTTGCGGCAACGGTGTGGGCCCACGCGGCGGACCTGCTTGATGCGGTGGCAATTGGTGATGTGGTGGTGGCAAACCCTGCCCAGGTGGCTGCTGTAGGTGTACAACAATACAATTAACTTTAGTTGTTTACTTAACACATTTAAAAGTGTAAAATATGATTGCCTCGTTGGTCTAGTGGTTGTAGTGACGCGACTACTGATCATGAGGTCCTGGGTTCGAATCCCGGGTCGGGCGAAAAAATTAATTATTGAGTTTTTCCGTCAAGAAATTCTCAATAGCTGTCCGGAGTCAGAAAGTTGATCACCCCCGTGCTTCGAAAGGTACGTAAAGCCGTTGGTCCTGCGCCTGATCTCTCTCCGGTCTTGTCTACCGTCCCATCGGAATATGAGTGATGGAATAGAGTGCACCAGTGCTTGCGCATACACTTGGGCACTATAAACTTGTCCTGCGCCGATGGCTAGTCTTCGTTGAGGCTGGCCGCCGTGACCGAAATTCGGTCTGGAGGACATTTATATATGATTGAATTTCAGAGTGTACTACTTAAAGACTGTTAGAGTATAGCAGGAGTCATAATCATTGCAATATTACTTTCTACTTACACAAAAAGTACTAAGAATACATGAATGCTAAAAGTTTTTATCTCTGTATATATATATATTTAAATCGACGAAGACTTCTTGCGTCTTTACAGACTACCACCCTGCCGCGTCCACTGTATGCGGCAAGATTTTAAATGTTTTTAATGTGTATAGTATATACGAAGTTTTAATTAGTATGATTTCATTAGTCGACTTGGAATTTCAATTAAACATGATATGTTAATATTCACTTTTAAATAATTCCCGGTAACTCAGTACGTCCGTTCACCACCAAAATTATCCAGCACCCTGAATACCCCTTATATACCTTCTATACACTGCATAAATGTTCCTACCTCCATCGAAACTTACGCTTAAACTGATTCTGTATAATTTCCTATATATGTTACAAAGATCACGATAGTAAAGTTACATCCATCAATTTTGGAAAAGATTGTGATTCCGTATACAGTTTTTATATTTTGTATTTATCGTACTAGTCAACCGGATTCCAGCTATATCAGCGATTATACTGTTCCTGATATAACAGTAGATACAATTTTTATGTTAGTATTTATTTCGTGTTTTTATAATCTCAATAGTGAAAATTCTCAATTCTTAATTCCCTTAGGGATACAAAGGACCTTAGTAGAAATTATTTAGACAGTGGAAAATATTCAGTCACGGTAGAAGCCTTTTAGTTTTTAGCAATTAAAGCTACTTCTTTAACCGCAATTGACTTTAAGGAATTTTTCCTCTATTTATTTAAACTTTATTGCACCATAATAATTCAAATACATAAGGTGAGGTAGTTAGGTAAGTTAATGCCCACGGGTAGGTGATTTGTGTAGTAAATGTATGTGGAAAGATAATTGTTAGGTAAGTTTATGTTTTTCTTTTAAGTTAATGTTAAATTGTAAATTAAATATTGTTGAAATGTATATGTTTGGGATATAAGTGGAAATATAATTATAGTTGGGTAAGTTTGAGTAAGTTGTAAATTGAAATGATCAAACAGCAGGTAAGTTGAGTTAACAGGTAAACCATGTCTAAATCGATCTCTTCGAGAGTCTTTTCTTTGAAAGCACCTGTTTTACCATCTTCTATAACACTAAGAAGTTTCGATATGTTAGCAGTTTGACTTCATCTGACAATCTATAAGTTTTTTTGTGCACTTCACTGATCATGTCACTTTCAGACATGCTAAATATTTGTGACAACGTAGCTAAGTATTTTCTGAGCCTTGTAGACGAGATTGCTTTTGGGTTTTTTGCTCCAGATAATCTTTCATGCCTTTCGAGAACTTTGTAGCCATAGATAGTGTTTTCATAACATGGATTAGCAAATAAACATGTGTCTTATTGACAATAATAGTTTTATGCCCACTTGAACTTCTTGATTAAACAAATCGGGAACTCCACGACGACGTTTGCCTCTAATAAAAACTCTCTTAAATTTCTTAACCAGAATCCTTTCAGAGGCAGTAAGCCTCTGAAGATCAAATTCATCATACTTATCAGATGCATTATTTTCACTTTATAAATAGTCGTGCAGTGTGATTCTTTGAAGTTCGCCAGGCTTGCGTCTGTTCAATAGTAAACCCTAGAATACACAGTTTCTAATAGTTTGTTGCAATATTTTTGATGGCCTTAATTTGTATAGAAGCCTCCAAAGATATTTTATTTAAGTATTCTTTTAGAATTTTCATTTGCTAAAGGTACAATAGTTATTTTTATAACAGTACGTTTCTAGGGCAGGCGGAAAAAAGTTCATTGACCTCAAGTATTATGTTACCATCGAAACAAAACGACAGTTATTGCTTCCATACATTTCTTTATAGAATGCGTATTGTTATGCGCTAAGCGTGTCTCATGGTACGGGGTAGGGTGAAGGAAGCGGTCATTCAGAGATAATAAACCTGTTTCCACGTGATTTGCGATAGGTCTCACGCCGTGCGTATTTGAGAAAGCGGATGGAGCAGAACTCATTTTTCGTTTTGTTTAAGCTTTAAAATTTTCGGTTTTAGTAGTTGTTTTAATTTTTATTAAGTATGTTTTGAAGTTGTATTATTACGTTTTGTATTAAAGTTTATGTTATTATTTTGTGACGTTTTGTATATTATCACTAGTATGAAATCGGGTCAATCGACATGAAAATCTCATAAAGACTACGTCACCACGAAAAAAGTGGAAAGTGTCGTATATTTCGGAAACCGAAAAAATTATGATTGTAAACATCTATAAATATATAAAAGAAACGTGGTCTAGTGACGTATTATATCGTTATATATCCATCCAAATCAATCATCCAATCATCCAAATCAGTAATAATCAATGTGACGGACTCTTCTACGTCTTCATCATGATTCTGAAATAGATACAGATGAATAGTCTGTCAAGTGTCTCTGACAATCTATTATGAGAAATTTTATGCATGCTTCAAGGTTGGCTGCTTAAGAATGCTTAGCATTAAAAGTACGTCTTTTTACCTGACTGCCAAGAAGTGGTTATGTTTTATACAACTACCTACCTATCCGCTTATAATGCAAATTTATAAATCATAATTGTGATTATGATTTATAAATTTGCATTATATATTAATTTAAATTAATATTAATTTGCTTTTAAATTCATTTAGGTACAGGATAAACTTATTTCTTTATAATATAATAATAGACATAGGGCCTGTAAAGAACTTCGCACTCGGAACCCTTATCTTTCACGCTGATGATGTATGTAACGATAAAAGGGAAATTGAACATAAACTAAAAAGATTGTCTACCCCGATGATATCATCAAAGGTCAATGTACTTTTTTCCGCCTGCCCTAGAAACGTACTTAATACTTATACTCACATTTGTCTCGATGGAGTATAATTTGAACAGGTATCAGTATCAATCTGTTTACAAACATGCGGCTGTTGCACGCACGTCCCTCCCTCCCTCCTACCCGCGCGCCCCGATCGTCCCGCAGGATTCGCACTGTGTCCCAATTAAAGTAAAATACTAGACGCAAAATCATCGTCGTGGAGAATTGATAAAAACATTATTTAAACACATATAAAATCGGTAAATTAAACGCTCAATATACGTTCAAAAATATACACTCATGAGTAGCGCCCTCCAATTTCCGCGCGGCAAACGGCTGAACTACGAAATACGCTAAAATACATTTTAGTGATGAAATTGAGTCCATGCCAATTTTTTGCCCATACAGTCTAAATATGAAATAACATCCGTGGGCCAAAAATGAGGGCTCGTTAATCTTGCGTCCGTATACTGGACGCATTAAGTCAGTTGGACGCAGTATCATCGGTAAAAGTTGCCATGTAGGACGCAACATGATCTACGAAATATATATAATCATTCGCTGTCCGTTAGTCTCGCTAAAACTCGAAAATGGCTCAAACCATTTTTATGATATTTTTTGGATGCGTTTGAGTGGATACCGACCGTGGATATTTTAGATTCACAATTGGACCCGGTAAATAGCGCTGCTGTCGAGATTCAGAAATCATCCGTGCGAAGCTTGGGCGGATCTCTAATTGTTATATACTTAGTCGGGTCATAAGTTCTATCAAAACCTTATTATTTAAAATTTTTGGAATACTGGCTAGATGAATTTCGCCAATTATAAAAATACGTTTGAGTTTGCCGAAAATAAGACATTCATTTTCAAATATGGAGTGGTTGACGAAAGAAGTTACAGTAGCGGTTATCGCGTTGCACCGCTGTGGTTACGCGCCAAGAGATTTTCAATATTCTACAAAAATTGAAAATAACCTTACGATTTGTTTAACGCACTCTCAAACGATTCACTGAAGATTCAAGCTTCGAAGAACGTAATAGGACCAGCCGACCTCGTACAGTTAGGACACCCGCAATCATCAAAGCAGTGAAGGCACGATCCAACGAAATTCTGTTCGTAAACAAAAAATCTTAACTCTACAGATGGGCCTAAGCAGAACCACAGTCAAAAGAGTGATCAATGAAGACCTAGGACTACGAGCTTATAGAAGACCGGACATTTTTTGAACGAGCGTTTGAAAAAAATTAGGCTGGATAGATCCCGCGCTTTGTTACCGCGGTACGCGGGAAAAAACACCGCGAAATTTTGTTTTCAGATGAAATTTTTTTAACATCGAAAAAAAGTTATAATAAACAAAATGATAAGGTGTATGCCCACAGCAGTGAAGAAGCCAGCATGCGTATTCCGAGGGTTCAACGAACACATTATCCTTCGTCACTCATGGTAACTGAGGTGTTTTTCTGTGAAAAAGGTATTTTCATTTAACCAATGCCGAGGTGTACCAAAATAGCGTCCTAACAAATATAGTGGAACCTTTTTCTAAAACAATGTTCAAAAACAGACATTGGATATTCCAACAGGACTCTGCATCAGCTCATAGGGCACGAAGCACGCAAAACTGGTTGACCGCCCATGGAATTGACTTTATCGGACATGAAGACTGACCCTTTTCTAGTCCAGATTTAAGACCACTGGATTATAAGATATGGCAACAATTGAAGAAAGTCAGCGCTAAACCAAATCAGAATTTGGAATCTCTCTGAGCATCTTTGGCTAAAGCAGCGGCAGAAATAGATATGAGTGTGGTGCGTGTTGCGATTAATGATTGGCCGCGTCGATTAAGGGCATGTATTTCAAAATAGGGATGTCTGGAAGAGATTGCTATGTAGCAATAAGACCGCCTTTTGCTTTCCCTCATTGTTTGTTCATTACTTGTTATATTTATGTTTCGTCTTTCGTACATTGCGAAGGCCTTCGATCGGGTTTGGCACAAAGCGCTTCTTTCGAAGCTCCTTTCCTATGGGCTTCCCGAGAAATTACCACCAGCTTTCTTGCAGATCGGAGCAACAAAGTCGTTGTAGACGGTGCAAGCTCCGATTACAAGCCTATTAATGCTGGTGCTCCACAAGGCTGCGTGCTATCGCCAACGCTGTTTCTTCGCCATATCAATGATATGTTGCAAACCCGTAACATTCATTGCTATGCAGATGACAGCACTGGTGATGCTCTGTACACCGGCCGTGCCAATATTTCTCGGGAAAACTTCTCCGAATACCGGGACAAACTTCTGTCTGAAGTCGAGTCTTTGCTGAACAGAGTCTCGGATTGGGGGCAGCTAAATCTAGTCCAGTTTAACCCTCAGAAGACACAAGTTTGCGCGTTAACCGCTAAAAAGAACCCCTTTGTCGTATCTCCTCAGTTTCAAGGCACTCCCCTTGTTGCCTCAGCCAGTATCGGAATCCTCGGCGTTGACATATCGAGTGACGTGCAGTTTCGTGGTCACTTGGAAAAGAAGGCCAAATTGGCCTCTAAAAAGCTTGGCGTGCTCAGCAGAGCGGGACGGTATTTCATGCCGGCACACCGCCTGCAACTTTACAAGGCGCAGGTTCGGCCACACATGGAATACTGTTCCCATCTCTGGGCTGGAGCTCCCCAGTACAAGCTCCTTCCACTTGACCGCATCCAGCGCAGATTGGCTCGAATCGTTGACGACCGTTGGGGTTGGGTTGGGTTGGTTGACGTTGGGGAGTGCTCTGAGGAATTGTTCGAATTAATCCCAGCAGCCAAATTTCGTGAACGCACTACGCGGCAAAAGTTCCGATACCATCCACACCATCTGGATGCTTGACGGTCCACCATTGTACGTTTCACAAGGAGTTTCACAAGAGTTCTTCCGCGTACGACCTCTCCGTGGAACAGTTTACCTCCAGCGACTTTTCCGGACCAATACGACCTGGGGACCTTCAAGAAAAGATCTTACTCCTTTCTAAAAGGCCGGCAACGCACCTGCAATTCCCCTGGTGTTGCGGTTGATCATGGGCGGCGGTAGTCACTTAACATCAGGTGAGCCGTATGCTTGTTTGCGCCCTCTTCTATAAAAAAAGATGGCGCTAATAATCAGCCGTCACATACCAGGCGCTAATTATAGCGCGCAACTATATATTATTACAAGGCGGCTCAAATACCGAAAATTTCGGAATTTCTCAGCCGGAAAAAATTAATTATAACTAAACAAAACAAAATTAAGCAGCCATTTACATACCATGGCTTCCCACATGATAGACGAAGAGATTAAAAAATAGATTGAGTTAAACATTTGATATTTTCAAAAGTTATCGTGTTTTCATATTCAGATTCATCGCACCCCTGCCCCATTAAAGGGGCGCCGGGAAGTCGGGTCGGTTTCCTTTCTTTTTTGCCTCATGGTGCGAAAACTAGGGAGTGGTATATTTTACGCCGCTACCACACGGCGAGTAGCATTTTGAATAATGTAAATAAAATTGTATTGTAAATTAAATTACCTTTCATATCATATATAATTTCTATATAATTATCAAAAAGTGTATCCGTTAATTTTATAAAATGTTTTTGACAGAACTTATGACCTGACTAAGTATTATATGGTTACAAAATGCTGGTGGACTACTCCAGACGTGTGGTCGTACTCCAGGCCTTTATATCGGACACCGGGATGTCCTCAAGGCTTTGTGCTGGGCCCAACACTGTGGAACATGCTGATGAACAACCTACTCTGACTCACCCTGCCTGAGGGAGTAGCCATGATTGCCTATGCCTATATAATGAATTCACGATCTTCATTGAATCGCAAAAAAGAGCGGGTATAGAATCCGCCAGTCACTCTCGACCTTGTATGAGAGTGGCAATGAAGGAGTCGATTGGAGTTTTTCTCCTCAAAGTCGACCACCATGACTGTTATTAGAGGGAAACTTTGTGAACAATCCTCCGTAATAAAACTTTGTGGAGAATCCTCCGTTATAAAACTGTAGAGAATCTATAAAGCCTATAAATAACGCTAGGGCGATAGGGGTGGTTTTGGACTCCGAAATATCATTTGTTATAAACACGCGTCTGATAACTTTGAAAGAGCGACCAGGGGATTAGGCTTTAGGGATTCGGATGACCCGCGTATCGATCGACGTTATCATGGGGTGTCCGGTATCCGAGCTAAAAAATTATTTATAGAGAAGGATTTGTATCCACGCTTACGTACGCGGCAGTGCTGGTACGAGTGTGCGAACACGTACACAGTTTGTAGCGTACTTACTGAGATCACAACGATCCGCCCTTATTTTGTTAACAAAGGCGTATCGATCCACTAGCACGGCGGCCTTACCGATGCTGGCTGGCGTTCTCTCTGCTGACCTAGAGGTCATCCGTGCTGGTAGGATGGGTATAGTATGTATGAACGTACCTAAAGAGGTGTTGAGCGTACGGAAGCGTGAAATTTGGACTGAAGTCATCGATGTTTGGCAGGATCGATGGACGAATAAATCAAAAGAACGCGAACTCTATCGGGTGTCACTGGACTATCAAACTTCTCAAATATTCATCGGACATGAATGTTTTCTGAAGAGATTGTGCGACGTGAGAAATGTGTGAGTGTGGTGCGACAGAGGAGGATGTTCATCATATTTTATCATAATGTCCTTTGTATGACGACCTAAGAGTGAAAATAATGGATGGATTAGCTCATCCGGTTCAAGAACCGATCTATTACTTGGATCTCATCAGCAGTGGAGTGAACTATGGGCTGTTGCGCGAGTTTGCGCATTAGTGATTCATGATCGGAGAGTGAGGGAGGACAGAATGCTGGAAGATAGGCCTGACGACGTAATTGTAATAGTGTCGTTAGCCCCAGAAGGGGAAGAGTGCCGTTAAAACGGGACAAGCAACAGATTAATATACTTGTAGGGAGTTAAGAAAGTGCGCGCGGAGTAAGAGCCACTGGCAAGTACGGCGGGCATCTCCCGAGATTCGGTCATGGGAGGTGGCGGGTTGGACCCTGCGCCGTGCAGCGTGCAGTACTGACCGCGTGAGGCGGCGGCATCTGGTGCGGCATTTGGTGCTGCGGAGGGCCGTACTGCGGCGCGGGCGCGGGCTGCATGTGGTGCGGCGGGCCGCGCGGCGCCCACTCGGGACCTGCACGCGGTCCGCCTGCACGCTGCATCTGCGGTCCACCCTGGAACTGAACGCAACACATGAGCTTAGGCGAGAGTTTCACCACCGACGGATTCGGCCTTCTATTATATTGTTTAAATGATGTTTATATAAATGTGATGCGAACTTAACTTTTAAACGTCTCTATATGTGAACTATAAGCAAATAAACAAAGTAATGTCATAACATACACAAAACTGTTATTTTTCATTGCAAATAACATTACTTTTTAATTAATTTTAAAATACTGGTTTATGTTCTAGAATAATGTATACACACTCCTATAATGCATTTCTGAAATTTCTTTACAACAATGCAAAAAAAATTGTAGGCTAATAGTAATACAGTAATAATTACATATAGTTTTAAAAGTATATAGTTTGATATATATTTAATACAAAACAACACACAAAAACTATTTCACCTGCCACTAAGCTTACCTGCATTGGAGGCCGATGTGGTGGGGGACCTTGATGTGGGGGAGGTCCTTGGTGTTGCATGTGATGGGGAGGTGGTCCCTGATGCTGCTGTAAGTGATGAGGTCCATGCGGGCCGTGAGGACCCGGTGGAGGACCACGCATCTGATGATGTGGCCCAGGACCCGCCATCATCATTCTTGGTCCATTCGGCCCAGGTCCATTTGGCCCACCTCCAAAAAATTCTAGGAAAGAGACCATTCATTGCAACGTGATGCACATTTGAGCCCAATTTTTAAATGGTAAGCATATTCCTCAACTTCCGAGTGTAATGCTCACAACTACCAGAAAAGGTGCGACATGGATTTTAAATCGATAGTGATCTGCCACGGATTGCACGGATGATTTCTGGATCTCGATAACAGCGCCACCTACCAGGTCCAATTGTGCATATAAACTACTCTCAAATGAACTTAATCACACACAAAATTTTATCAAAATCGGTTCAACAATTTAGGGATTTCGGTCACATATACACACACACAAACAGAATAATTTTATACATAAAGATTAAGTGAACGCGGCCGTTTTACTTGACGGTCGTCTTCACTTAATTAATCGGGGATAAAGTTTTTATACAACATTCGAGTTTGTGATATTCCACCCAAAGGGATCAAAAAATTAAACTTATTGTAAAGTAAAATCCAGATTTAATATTCCTTTTCACTTGGGCTTAACATAGATATAGACTATGTAATATACTTGTGAAGCTAGTATGCAGGTTGTTAGTGTAAACACCGTTGTCCTTGTTGTCAGTTGTCCTTCCTCCAGTGGTTTGGTTTCACTTATAGAACGTAAATTCAATGAAAAATAACATTTTTTTAGTAAAATCACAATTTTTCCTTAATTCCTCAATTTTTGCCTGTCCTAAGCAAGAAAGTATGAAGGAAAAGTTACATCACAGGTTATGTGTACCTATTGTGTTTTTATGTTGAATGTTGTGTAGGTAGCTAGCGAGGGCGGTGATCTTTACAGTGATTACGTCACTCGGGCGCATAGGGTATCCATGAATTTACGGACAGCGTCAGACAGAAACTTTTAATAAATTTTATGAAATAAAATAGCGTTATTTTTTTAATTCATTGAATTTACGTTCTTTAAGTGAAACCAAACCACTGGTTTCAAGGATAACGGTGTTTACACTAACACCCTGTATAGACTTGTGAAGCTATTATGTAGAAATTATTTTCTTTTTTAGTTCTTGGAGTCGGCTTTTACTTTAAATTAAAATGGTCTATTTTTATTTGCTGTGTCAGTCTTGTTGTTAATCCTTAAAAATATATAAAGAAAAAAAATGTAGCAAAAAATGTTGCAAAAATTGTTACCTCCTGGATGCGGGCCAGGTGGGCCACTTGGATGAGGCCCTCTCATCCCTGGATTATTAGGTCCTGGTGGAGTAGACCGAGTCTTCGACTGACTCTCAAATTGATTCAGGGCCTGTAAAGTAATATTATCCTTTTTGTACTCAAGTATATAACATTATGAATACCCTTTTTTCATTGTAGTTTTTATTTTTTAAGAGTTTCATAGTTGTATCATTAAAATTTTATATGAGGTACACTAATAATATTGAAATAGCCTGGACTTAGCAGTAAAAGTTTGCAGATACTAGACTACAAATCACAGACTCGAATCATAAAATTTGTGTAAAACACGAATTGCTGGTTTGTTTTTACTTTTGATTATAATATAGTGATTATCCCAGTGACTCAGACACTCTATCCTAGTTTACGACAAATGTTATATTGTTCACAGTTTAAAGGTAGCCAGGACTTAGCAGTAAAAGTATGAGGATACTAGACTACAAATCACAAGGTCGAATCATAAAATTTGTGTAAAACACGAATTGCTGGTTTGTTTTTAGTTTTGATTATAATATAGTGATTATCCCAGCGACTGTAGGTGTGCTGTTCGTAGACGTGCCCTATATAATTAATTTCCAAGTTTTGAATCATATATGACTAAAGAAAACACTTTACGTCACTCCAATACCGATCAACTTTACTCCTCAAATCTTACCCGAGCCATAATGAGTCTCTTGATCAAAAATAAATAGGTTGCAATTGCTCAGAGTTCATGGACTGCAGAAGCCACTTACTATCAGGTGGACTGTACTTTAGTGTGTCACTTCAATTCTAGTAAAAATAATTTTTCCTCAATTTATTGCTCTAATTTCATACATCAAATTTATTAATCTGACAACAATGCCAATAATACAATGAGCTTGTACAGTCCAACCGTACATTTCTGCTGGCGTTAATATTTTACGTGAAGCAATGGCTATAGTTCGACAATTATAACCATAGAGTTAGTTCACGTAATCACCATAAACGCGACGGACGCGAGCTCATAAACGTAACATTTAACATTTTTTTAAATAATTAATCTTATTTTTTTACTTCTCTATTAAATTGTTTTTATATAAAATTTTAATTATTATTAAACATACGTTCAATACCCGAACATTTTTGGTCCTTCGAACTGGATGTACGGTCAAACCGTATAGAGCTTTTTTTACAAATTTATGATGGCATCAAAGATATTGTTATTTGCAATTTGGTCCAGATTTATCACGTGCTCAGCGGTAAAGGAAAACTAACAAAACCATCATATCTAAGAAATGAAAAAAAATAATTTGGAAGACATTTGAAGTGCGCCAATACGCATTGGGACAACGCGACCAACTCTTTGTCCTTAAACAATTTCAGTAATGAGAGGAGGCCAGCTGCGGGACGCTTATGGGTTGTATTTTTAGGCTTCGGTTCGTTTTGCTGCGAATTACCTGTTTGGTGGGCAGTGTGACGACGGGATGCTGTCCATGTATCTCTTTCTTGGGCAGACGGTCCATGACCATCCTAATTGACTGGTCGGAACCGAGTGAAATAACACAGAAGCCTTTCGATTGTCCATTTGCCCTGTTCTCGAAGAACTTCACGTCTTGGAAATCGGTCACGCCAATATCTGCAATGGCGTTTGCAATGTCTTGATCTGTCGCCCACTGTAAACATTTTATGGAAAACTCAGGGTAATGCGAAGGCGACACAGATGAAAAAAAATTAAATACATACGTGAGCACGCCTTTAGATCGTTCGCTATTTGTTTTGAAACACATTTTTTATATTTTTATTCAATGTTTAAAAAGTACTAAACTTTAAAAAGCAACTGGACCTTAATCTTGCAGATCGTCATTATAGTTTTGCAAATACTCTAATTTTTCGTGTAAAAATATTTTGTTCCTAATCTGAAACACCACATATACATGTGCGCGCACACCACTCATGCAACCTTCCAATTTTCATACTCATATAACCCAATCTATAACTTCCATACGATTTTTAGCTCTTGAGAATTATTGTGCTTGGGTATTAGTGGGTGGAAAGGAAACAGATTTTTTTGTAACCATTCTTTTATTTTCATTATCACAGCAATTCGTCTTTAATTACGAGACAACAATCATAACAGTATGACATTGGAAATATTGAATAAGATGTCAAAAACCGAAACATTTTCTTTTAATTACATTTCACAATTCTGTCCCACCCAGTATTTCATATTTTAATTTATGTATATAAATTAAGACAGCGTATAACTTATTACGATTAAAATCAACAATAAAAAGAGACTAAAAAGAGTTGCACCAAGAGACAAAGCAAGAAAATATGACGCGAAAAATAAATATTGTAATATTGAAAAAAGAACATTACTTCGAAAATTATGTATAACATTCACGACTGTTAAAACCCTTATTTATTTTTTATTTTAAGGTGTACATTTTCAACTGTAACATAAAAGACTATGAATAACAATTGATTTACGGTAGTTAAACATTCTACCCGTTGGTACATCCATGAAAAAACTGGCATATTTTAAAAATACAAAATATTTTCTGCTTCTTTTTTTTTACTTTGTATTACTAAATCATTTATGAAAACTAAAAAGCTATAATAATGTCTATACAGCATAGCTGTATAGGTTATAATGAATTTACAATAACAAACTTCAATTTAACCATCAATCCCTTAACAGTTACATTTACCTTTATCACTTAATAATTATTAAACAGAAATAGAAGTGAAAATAAAAAAATAAAGACAAAACACATTACTACAAACAACAAGCTAAACATCTTACCTCATGAAAACCTGATAAGAAAAAATTAGTTTAGGTACATTTATGTAATGAGAATTTTGGGGCATTTTATTGTCATTTCCCAGCATTCCGATTACAGATTAAAATAAAGTAAGTGACTTGCTAGTAAATTGTAACAAAACATGCTTTGAAAACCAATAAATAATACTAAGTATTCTTATTTAGTACTTTCCCTACAAACAGACCTTATATACAAGAAGGTAGTAAAACACCCTATAAAACTTCTTAAAATTACTACAAAACAAGTAATATTAACAATATTTCATAAAATTCAGCAGTGCAAAGTCTACTTCATTTTATCTATTTAAATTAATACTATAGCATGTTTTTTGTTAATTAAACATGTAGTAGTGTATATAACATAAAAAATAAATACATATATTAATAATCCATACATCCATCAAACAAATATCCACAATCCACATATGTAGCAAATCACACATTCAGAACATAGGTACATTCCGAATAGGCATTTATTTATATTCCCTTTGCAATAAACTCTAAAGCACTAAGAGATATTTAGTTCATGTTATGTAGAGAATAGAATTCCACAAATTAAGCAGTAAGTAATATTAAATACAAGAATAAGGTTACAAATTTACTTTTTGAATGTTTTATTTACATTTTTATTACTTGTTTTAAGGTAATTTTATTTGTGCTGTTAATATAGTGGTAGAATTTCTTAACATAATTTAAATAAATGTCATTAACATCTATTCAATCCATAACAAATTCCACTATTGGAAAAATTAAATATCTCTTTGTGATAAATAAAATATTTGTTCTTTTAAAAGACCATGAATAAGTAGTAAAATAGTTTAAAAGAAGCAATAAAATAAAGCCAATGAAGGCTTAACTTAATATGAATATTTTACGTTTCTTAAGCAATTAATTTTAATAACTCTGGTGGTACATGTAATGTTTATGACGGCTAAGTTTATTTTGAAAACCATTTTAGTCATAAAAATATACAAAATATAGCACAATTAAAATTGTGTGTAGGTTTTTATAAAATACTACTAATATGTAAATGTTAATGAAAACATAATGAACACAAAATTGTTCACAATTTTGGAGTGGATCTAGTATGCATTTGTCATTACTAATAACAAGTGAAACAAAAACAAGAGGTAAGCATTAGAAAATAAAAGTAGAAATTGCACTTAACTTGTGCTTAATATTTCTTTTTAAAACGTTCAAGAAATAAAAAATGAAGATAACTCAAAAAATTGATAACAGCGAAATAAATTCACTATGATCAAACTCTTGCTCTTGTTTCAGATTACTGATATAGCAAATTTTAAAACACCATGAAAATAATACAAAAATTACATTTTCTGGCAATAAAAAATTAAAGAATATTTAGGGTTCCGCTGTCATACAAGGAACCCTTATAACTTTGTTCTGTGCAGTTTTCCTAATGCAATTTTAATAATTAAATAAAATTAAAACTGATTGGTATATATTATATTCACAAGTTTTGATTTAAGGATAAAAAAATGTAAGAAACAAATTTCCATGAACTTGAAGCAATTTTTTTTAACTATCCAGTGAGGGTATATCATTAGTTAGGTCTCCACAAATAGTTATTAGATTTCATGAGCTCTTTTTACCAATAGAGCTAAGTTCTTTTTGAAATACCAAGCTTCAAAGTAACCCGGTCTTTCCCCCACCTACACTTATCAAGTAACACAACTATAATTCTGAAAAAAATCCCTCAACTAAAAATGTCACAAACACTAGAATTCAGTTTTAAAAATATTAGGGAAAGTCTACACAGCGGAACCCTATGTTATGTGTACATAATACACATTTGGCCAATTTTTTGTAATAATAATAAATAACATAATTATGACTAATATCTGTAAATTACAGTAATATGTTGAATACTTTACAAACAACTACAAGGAAATAACACAGAAAGACTGGTGACCTCCCCCCTCTATTTTTACAAGCAAAAATTTGTACATATGAAACAAAAATAATTTTTAATTGTATATTATATATAATATACAGATATGAACATAATTTTTTCATACACAATTTTTGACACCATCTTATCTAAAGAAATATATATTTTAGCTACTTAATAAAGGTTTTAAGCAAAATTCATTACAAGGCAGTTGGAAAGTGACAATTCATACTTTAAAAAACTTATAATTTTGTATCTCTAAAATTGTGATGTTTAAATCTTACTAATATAAGTCATTTTGTATGAAAGCAAGGTAAATCAGATTTTACATAAAACATAATATTATTTTCATGGTAAAAATAATGATTAATATTATTTTTGCTATATCAATAAAGTATCATACTTAAGTGTAGCACATACCAGTATATTTTGAGCCAAACAATGACTTTATTGTCGTAATAGTTGATGTCATTTTATTTGTAAACATAAACCACATCAACAATTGCAACATATAACCATATAAAAATATAGTATTTAGTTTTTGGATTCAATCAGTAACTTCGTTAAAATTTAAATATATTACTTTATATACTCCTTCCATTATAATTTCTCAATAACTGATGGTTTAGTTGTTTTGTCCCTTCAGAATATAATTGTTATATTTGTTCAAATATATATATATATATTTTTACTACAACATTCACATATATTGATAATTATTTTGTATTAATTACATGTCATTAAAATAATATGTACATGGAATTGAGTAAATTATACAATTTTCATATGGTTATCTTGTAAAGAGCTGCTATTTAATAATTTAATATATTTTTAAGACATACATTTAACAACAATTTTAACAATTCAACTGTCCAATTTACATTTCGACTATAACACTTTAAATTTAGTTATAATATAATAATAGATATCAAAGATCGATTTAAATCATACTATTTCAAATTCAACATTAATACCGGTTATTTGGGACAAATAGCTGTAAAATATACAGGCAATAATTATGAGTCATAAAGACTACACAATTTATAATAAATGGTGGTAAAAGGTTCTAAAATATTTGTATCGGTTCTTCGTATTATTAGCATAATTTTAAATGTAATAAATTACAAATAGCAGCTCAGATCTAATCGATATATGTTCATTGAACAAATATCGAAAAACAAACAACTGGAAACCTATATATACAAAATACGCTAAATAAAACAAAATCGTCTACAAACCCATGTGAGGTTGCCAACGTAAAGTTGGAAACGGCGGCCATGATGGTGGCTTGGTGCATTATTGTGATAGGGTGCGTTGCCGTTAGTCTCCTCCGGTGGATGTGAGTGCTGCGGTGCAGAAGAGTTTGGAGGGCCATCCGCATCCTCAGGCTTCGGTGCTGGAGCAGCAATCACGTCGTCGTATAGATCTACATTTTCACCTCCGAACTCATCCTGTAAATTGCCGGAAATATTTTATTACACACAGTTTAAGTTGGATAATTTCTGAACAGTGTAAAACAAAAACTAAAAAGAAAAGTCCTATATTTTACCTGTCTATTGAAATCAGATTCAATATCATCAGCGTATAAATCTATATCCACGCCCCCGTCCGCCATTTTGCATATAGCGATTAGCGAACCTGAGCGAAGAGCTCTCGTTGGAGAGTAGCATAGATTACTGACTATATAGGAGAGTAGTATGTTCCTTGGCGAAGAGCGAACTAACCGAGCAGGCTAGGTTACAAATATCGAAATATCGATACCTTCTCAAAAATATGAAAATATTTCATTTATTTTTTTAATCACGATATATCGATGTTGGATATTTATTATACTTATTTTACAGTATTGAATTCGTATTAATTTCAATATATTTTAAAATATGGTATTAATCGATAAAACAGTAAGCAACAAAAGCCGGTACAAAAGCATTCATGTATTGCAGACGTTCTTTTTTCATCGTCCAACCATCATTACCAATAACCAGTATTAAAATGTTTGACCTTATCCTACTACATAATGCAAAACATGAAGGTATATCGATATTTATATATTTATATATATATATATATATATATATATATATATATATATATATATATATATATATGTATATATATATATATATATATCGATACTGTGTAAAACTGACGATACGATATATGTTGATATATTTTTTCACTTGCACATCCCTAGAACCAAGTAGCCATCGATTAGATTAGTCTATGATTCGATTCTATTTGTTGTTATTTATGACTCGCTAAGTTATAGACCATACAGCCGAGAATGATTTGCATTTTATTTTAAAACTACAATAATATGTTGATGCGTCTCTCTACGCCATGGAGGTTAGAGAGAAGGCGAAAGATCACTGTAGAAAATAATGTCCCAGAAATATAGACAAAATAAGTGAGGCGCTGCGATCGCTAAGTTGTCTCAATAAAAACGGCCTGATGTGAGCTACTTTGAAATGATCAATCAACGTTTAATATACATGTATATAATATCATTCATAGGAAAAAAAGAAAATAATGATCTTATTATTATTTATTAATAAATAAATTATAAATTATGTTTTTTGTAATTTTAATTATTATAAATAATTACAAATTTTGAGAATTTACCAACTTGCAAATCTTTTAATTAACTTTAATTTCAACAATTTCTTAAAAGTTTAATAAAGATTAATTTAGTAAAAAACTATGATTAATTAAGCAAATAATATTTTTACGTATTCAATATTTCAATGTACAGCTGTGAATCGATAACTTATGAGGATATTATTTTTATTTTATTTTATTTATACTTTTGGAACCTTGACTTGACCTTGATTGACGCAAATTGTTTTTCACTCTTTTTTTCCTATCAGATGCTAAACCACTTGGACATCCACGCACAATGCCATATTACACCATTTTTTAATGTTTCTTTTTTTTTCAAAAATTAAAAAATTATGGAGCACAATTATTTTCTCACCAATGCCGCGAAGAAAATTTGTACATTATTCAATTAACTTCATCTACATGTACTCATAAACAGCTAACTTTGCAGATACTACTTACCGACTGCATTTCAGAGACAGGCGGGTTATGCTTTAGCACGTAGCGATCTTTCTCCTTCTCTCTAACCTCCACGCCATGGAATATAGAGGTAATGAGGACAATCTCCCATAGGAGAATAGTTGAAAATGTAAGCAGTAAATCACAGTTCAAAAACCCTCCACAACAGCGCTCGAGTAGCTACAGGGTATGATAAATCGCTGTAAAATAAGTTGAGAGCGACTTTGAAAATAAAAATTATGGAAGCAATGAAATAATTATTGTAAAAAGAGTTAAAGTGAAAGTCTATTTTGCGTAAAAAGTACTTGAATATTTGGACTGTAGCTACAGTGGCGCCACCTATTTAGCGCTTTCCTACGGTCACTTTTTTATACAGAGTCTGTACTCCTTACGTCTACACTCCATACCATGGAGGTTAGAGAGCATAAGAACGATCGCTAGGCACTAAAGCATAGCCCGCCTGTCCTTGAAAATTTGTAGAATTTATAGCGACGCTGCCGTCGGTGAGTAGTGGCTGTGAATTTAGCTGTTTATGGGTACAAGTAGACAAAGTTAGTTGAATAATGTACAAATTTTCTTCGCGGCATTTGTGAGAAAATCTTCATGCTCCGTAATTTTTTAATTTTAGACAAAAAGAAACATTAAAAAATTGAGAAATATTTTACTGTGCGTGGATGTGCAAATGTATGGTTTAGCATCTGATCGGAAAAATAGACTGAAAATGACTTTTATTGAGCGAAATTAGCGATCGCAGCGCCTCACTTATGGTGTCCATATTTCTGGGACACTATTTTCTACGGAGATCGTTCTCCTGTTCTCTAACCTCCATGCTACATACTCTACACCATGGAGTATAGAGGTAAGGAGGACAATCTCTCGTAGGAGAATGGTTGAAAATGTGTCCATCTGTACGCAGTAAATAACAGTTCAAAAACTTTCCACGATAGCACTCGAGTAGCTACAGGGTATATGATAAATCGCCGTAAAATACGTTGAGAATGATTTTGAAAATAAACATTTTGAGTATCTTGCCATCTTCTCAAAAATTCTACAAGACTCACAACTGAATGAGTATCGATGTATGATACTAGTCGTTTCGTCTGGTGGGTGCAGGTGACCGATAGAAGGACTATACCATCCTCCTCCCCTCGTCAACATTGTATTGGAATTAAATAATATACTACCCCAGGAGGGTATCAGCACCCGTGGTAATGGAGAGCCCCACGCTGAGCATCCACGACCATGCTACTCAACTACTTAGCGTGGGTGCTCAGGTTGCTCCACTTATTCTGAGGAGAGGGGCAAAATTCCGCTCAAGACGAAAAACTGCTCGGAGCCAGCTGAGCAACAAGATAAAGGCGACACCTGCCACGTTATCCGTGAGTTTCACCAAGATTCGGGGACTTCACTTGAACCTAAACGCCGCCATCCACTACTATCTGGAATCTCTCCTACCCGGAGTACCAACTGGAACACTTCCTTGTGCATCAGGCTGGCGTTTACGTATAAGTCAGAAAGGACAACTGTTCGCGACGCCTCGTCAGTCTTGAAGGTTCGGCCCTGTCCATCTTTTAGCTACGCATAGACAGCGATGACCATCTGCGCGTATATGGATGCCTCTATAAGTCTAATAGCGGTAATGTCGATACAGACCGACTCATTGATCACGTCCGGCTACAGATTCCCTGCTTCAGCAGATACAATGCGCAGATATGGTGATCCTTTTCGATTTTAACGCCCACCACGCCGAATGGCTCGATTAACGTTTAACTGATCATGCGTGGAGATCACTTTGACAAGGCAAAGTCATAAACTAATCTCCACGCATGATCGAAATGTGGGGATTACCTTGCCTGTTGGATCTTCTGCTGACCTCTCATCCAGACGGATATCAGGTCTTCGTCGACGCTCCTCTTGGCTCCTTGGACCATTATCTAGTTCGGAGTGTGATGCTTACGCTAACATCGCGGGTGCATTCTGCAAGCTGCCGCCGTGTTTGGCATTATAGGTCGGCTGATTGGGACAAGATGCGGTCGTTTTTTGCATCCAACCCTTGGGGGAGGGTTTGCTTCTCGCCGGACGATCCTGACTTTGTTGCTGATTCTGTCGCTGATGTGGCACTTCAGGGTATGGAACTTTCTATTCCATCTCCTGTAGTACCCATCGCAGGCAGATCCCAGCCATGCTTTGTTCGCTTCTCTTTAAAAAAAATATAAAGCCTCCAGTTCCTCCAAAAGAGACATTGCCAAGGCAAGGTTCATCTTGCTTCGGGAACCCATGCATTCTGGTCTCTCGCCAAGGCTGTCCAAAGGAATTTCTGGAAGCCATCACTCTTCCATCTCTGCACAGAGAGGACGACTCACTGGTCTGCGACGCAAAAGAGAAAGCCGATATTTTCGGTTTTCTTTTTGCATACAACTCGACTCTCGATGACGGAGGGAACACACCGCCAACCATCCCAAGGTGTGAGTGCGATTCACACCACGTTCAGTACGCAAAGCAGTCCTTTCCCAGGACATCCACAAGTCGAGTGAGCCTGACGGAATGCCCCTATTTGTGCTGAGGACGTGTGCTCCAGTGTTGGCACCGGTTCTAACGTATCTTTTCCGTTATTTCTGCTCCCGAGGCGTAGTCTCAAATTCGTGTAAGACAGTTTTCGTGCACCCGATCCCTCAAAAGGTAACCGCTCTGATACGTCCAATTACAGGCCTATCGCCTCACCGTCAGTATGATTTCCGTTTGTTTCGCTCAGCTGGTGATCTTCTTGTCACGGGTGTATAATAAATTAGGTGATATTCAACAATTACGAAAATATGTGGGCCTCCAAGCGAAAAGGAAGCATTTAGTTTCCGAGATAATTAAGAGTTTTGTAAAGTTGGATGAAAAAATTGCATTTCGCGATTTTTATTGATTAATAATAAATGCTCAATTATCTGAAACGGTATATTAATGACTATAATACGATGTTTCTATTTCTAAGTACCAGAAACTTTAAGAGAAATGTTTAGTGAAAAGGGACCAGTGGTCTGCATGTCAATATTTTTGAATTCCCTGTAACTACTGAGAAGATTTACTTACTGCAAAGTATCTATTTCGACGCCGACGGGAACTCCCCTTTTTTTTTACATGGGGAAATGCCTACGCATACCCGCCTCGCGGGGGCAAGGACGGGTTATGTCGGACTCGCACCGACTAAAACCCCATGGTGTTCCACCTTCGTCACATATTGGCAGAACTACGGGAACGCTTTCGCACACTTCCGCGGCCCTACCAGCGACTGCCGTCCCATGGCAGCACCTCCTCGGGAGAGAAATATTCCTCCCCGTTCTCCTTCCCAAGTAAGGCGCACCAGAACACATGGCACGCCTTCCTCCACGGCCTCCAATTGCATTTGCGCAACAGACGCCCCCGCGTCCGATGCGCGAAGGCCATGGGGCCAGGAAAAACGAGCACTTAGAAGTACTAGCCTTCCCGACCCCAGCGGCGGATCTGGTCTATGGCTCCGCCGCCAACCAAGATTCGGCTGCGGAGGATAGGGAGAGCGGCGCCTCGCAATAC